GTTTTTAGATAATGACTCAGGTTCAAGCTCAAGCACCAACCAAATAAAAATCCCCTACCCCCATTTAACAGATGGTAACTAAAACAAAAGGTAAACAATTTCTTAAGACAATAAGATAAGTCATTAAAACTGGAAACAATTTGGAAACACCTACTGCCCTCCCTCCCTGGGGTCCTTACCCTGTGTACAGTTAGTATAGCTTATGGCTGCTCAAACCTGTCAGTCCTTCCCATACCCTCCTCTGTGTTCCAGACACCTAAATCTCCAGACATTCTAGCTAGGACATCAAAGTACTTAAAGAGACTCTCAAGGCTTTTATTTACCTTTGTGTACCCATCACTTAGTTCTTCATAAGTATTTATGCAAGGTATGCATATCTGAAAATATAGTGTTCTCATTTTAACAATGGAAAAATTTACTCTGTAGTGTGCCTAACAAAGAAAAAATACTCTATAGTGTGCCTTAATTTAATATATCTCTCATTTTGAAGATGAGAGAACTGAACTCTGAAAGGTTACATGACTTCAATCAAGATGAACATAAACACTGATGGCAGCTTGACAGTGGTTAACTAACATTAGCAATGGTCAGTCACAAATATTTGATAAGTTCCTATTACATCTAAGTCTTATGCTAGGTTTGAGGATAGGCTTGTAAATCAAAGTACTAGTCAGCAAACAGACTGCTTTCTACTGGGGACAGGTGGACATGTATGCTAATTTCCTGAGTCATTGTTTTTTTTGGGGAGGGGTCCAGTCGTGGGGCCTGAACTCTGGGCCTGGGCGCTGTCCCTCAGCTCTTCAGCTCAAGGCTAGTGCTCTACCACTTGAGCCACAATGTCACTTCTGGCTTTTTTCTTTTTGCTTATGTGGTGCTGGGAATGGAACCCAGGGCCTCAGGCATGCAAGACAAGCACTCTACCACTGAGCCACCTTCCCAGCCCCTCCTGAGTCATTTTTGAGGTCCAAGCAGAATGGTGTGGAAAGATAGATCTGGGGGAAGAGAGCCCTCTCGGGTGACAGCAACAACAAAGGTACTGGACTGCAACATGCAGTGAACTCAGGTGCTTGCTAAGCTAGGCGCTCTCACCTCTTGAGTTACTCCTGAGCCATGCTACCACCATTTTTTAAACATGTTTATTATGTTTGAGTAGTTAAGCATTACCATTCAACAAATTCGTTTTTTTTTTTTTTTAATTTTTTTTTTGGGTCCGGTAGTGGGGCCTGAACTCTGGGCCTGGGCGCTGTCCCTCAGCTCTTCAGCTCAAGGCTAGCGCTCTTCCACTTGAGCCACAGCGCCACTTCCGGCTTTTTTCTTTTTGCTTATGTGGTGCTGAGGAATCGAACCCAGGGCCTCGAGCATGCAAGGCAAGCGCTCTACCACTGAGCCACCTTCCCAGCCCAACAAATTCGTTTTAAAGTACAATGCATCTTGATAGATGTCACTCCCATACCATACTAAAGGACCTTCTAGCCTAAGGGTAGTACAGGATGCGAAGGTGAGGAAGATAAGCAATCTAGAGCTCCACTAGAGCTTACAAACTGAGGCAAAAAGAATAAAAAACGAAGGAAAAGCCATCCTCCAGTGTTTGCCATATAATGAGGAGACAAACTGGAGTTAGCAAGGACACAGAGGCACGTCAGTAAGCAAGCTAATAAGCACACACAGAAGCTCTGAGTAGAAGGAGCTACAAATAGCTTGTGCCACCAGAGAGAAGGAAAAGACCCTGGTCTTGTTGGCATCAAAGATTATACTGGGATACAAATGAGAATACAAGTCTAGCCTCCCAACTTTGGGCTGTACATAATGTTTTAGTAAATTGTATGACATACTATACTGGGATATAAATGAGAATATAAGTCTAGCTTCTCAACTTTGGGCTGTACATAATGTTTTAGTAAATTGTATGACATAAATATATGTAATTATTTGCAGCCTAGATATGCTTATTCACTTGACTTTGAAGGCCAACTATTTTTCTCCCTTTTACTCTGATTTCTCATCTCAAAAACTGCTTCTAAGCTGGGTGCTGGTGGCTCACCCCTGTAGTCCTAGGTACTCAGAAAGCTGAGATCTGAGGTTTGAGGTTCAAAGCCAGCCTATGCAGGAAAAGTCCATGAGACTCTTCAACTGACCACCAGAAATCAGAAGAGGCTGTGGCCCAAAGTAGTAGAGCACTAGCCTTGAGCAAAAAAGCTCAAGGACAGTGCAGAGGCCCTGAGCTCAAGCCCCACAACCAACAAAAAATAAATTTAAAAAAATCAATAAACTTGTCGGGTTATGTGTCGAATATTAATGTGTCAGGATCAAACAATCTGTACTAACACACCTGAGTTTCTGAACCTTGGGACCTCAGACTCCTGATCTTAGCTACTCACCGAGACACAATTACTCTATGAATTTACATCTGGACAGCCAGCAACTATCACCCTCTATGACACTAAAAAAAAACTTACCTGGGCAATAATAGAAAGAATGCCAAGGACTGCTATAAATGCTGCAACACTTTCTGGCGAAAATTTCATTATCTGTAAGGTTTCAAAATCAAGCAAAATTAATGACTGAGAAAGCATAAGGAATACCAAAATAGTGTTAATTACTTTTTTAATTCATTTTTTTGTCGGTTGTAGGACCTGAACTCTGTCTGGGCACTGTCCCTCAGATCTTAGCTCAAGGCTAGCACTCTATCACTTGAGCCACAGCACCACTTCCGGCTTTTTCTGTTTATGTGGTGCTGAGGAATTAAAACCAGGGCCTCATGCATGCAAGACAAGCACTCTACCACTAAGCCACCTTCCCAGTCCCCTTTAATTCATCTTTAACTCTCTAAGTCAATTCAAATTTTAACTCATAAACAAAGCTTTCTTTAGTAGAAACAATTTAACATAAAAGATACCTAGTTATATGTGGCAGCCCCCCAAATTTGCATATACTAAATTGGAGACAGCTATCAAGCATTCAGAATCATTTTACAAGTAAAACCGCAGCATCTGTGGTTTGCCTATCATTGATAAAGGCTTGATTTCATTGTAGAAAGACTAGAGTTGAGAGAAAGAAATTTGTTTGTGTTCTCATTTGTGTTCTCCGTAAGTTCTGGATCAGAAAGAAACTAGTGAAGGTGATGCATCTTTTTGCCTAAGTTAAAAACATACAACATGCCAGTGGCTCTCACCTGTAATCCTAACTACTCAAGAGGATCACAGTTCAAAGCCAGCCCAGGCAGGAAAAGCTGCAAGTGGTGCTATGGCAAGTGGTAATATGTTAGCCTTAAGCAAAAAGCAGCTCAGGGACAGAGCCCAGGCTATTCAAGCCCATGACCAACAAAAAAAGAAAAAAGAAAAAAAATAGAATGAAAAAATGTAGACAGGGGCTGTAAGTGTGGTAGGGTGCTGGTCGCTTGTCTAGCTGGCAAAGAAACATAAGTAATATCAGGCACACTAAAAAAGTCCAGTTGGCTATTGCTTACCAAATGGTCATCAGATTAAAGCTTTCAGAGATTATTTTTCTAACAGTACAAAATGAAAGAAAAGTCCACTTGTATGCAATAGGATTTTACCTGTCTGAGGTATAAAAAAAAGCTTGAATATTGGCCTGCCTCTGGTAGATAGGAGAGAAATACCGTGATGCAGATCAGCAGCACTATGGAATCTTGGCCCACTTTTTTTAAGGACTAGAAACAAGAAAAAGAATGACATAAGGTTTTATGTAAAAATTGTAAACATTCTTGATGTATGAAGACATTTCTTTGGTACTGGATACAGACAACTACTGGCCCTTTTATCCTCCCCAAACTATTCTGAAAAGTCTTTTAAAAAGGGAAGGGGAAGGGGAAGGGGAAAAGAAAAAGAGGGGGAGGGGAGGAAAGAAAGAAAAGGAAGGAAGGAAGAGAGAGGGAAGGAGGGAGGAAATAAAGAAACCAGCTGGATAGTAGCTCACACCTGTAATTTCAGCACTCAAGAGATGGAGGGATTACGAGTTCAAGACCAGTATAGGCTACATAATAAGGCCCTGTCTCAAAAACTGTCAAGATGTTTTCTTCAAAGACACCCACAGCAAAACATTAACACTACATGGAATCATGTTTTCACGTTTTTGGTCAAGAAATGTAAGAAAAAGAAACTTACTGCAAAGGGGTCAGCCTGTTCCCAGGAAATGGGTGCGCCCCATGATGCAGGCCGCATTTTTTCAGGCAGCGACTCTGGCACAGCAACAAGGATAAAACAAATATCTAGCAAAGCTATTGCTGTAGCTAGAACCACCACTAAGCTGTCTCCATACACTCGTCCGAGGTAAGCTCCAATTGCAGGGCTGGTAACTAAACTGGCAGCAAACGTTGCTGAAACCTGCAACCAATTAAGTAAGAACAAAGAAGAAATTAGTGAGGAAAGTTCAACTCCCTTAACTATGCCCCAACCCCATATCAAGTCACAGCTGCTGCTACAGCCTGTCCTGCAGCTACCCGGGCCACTCTTATTGTCCCTTTTGTAGGAAGACACAAAGATTAGATTCTTGTCTATAAATATATAATAAATAAAATAGACTCTCAGGACAGTGGCTTCAAATTCTTTTAAACCTTGGGGCTCTCTGTGCAAATAAATCCTATGGGTAAATCTTGGGTAAGACAGATTTACAAAAAAAACAAAAACAAAACCCAAACCCACTTTAGTTTAGCAAAAATTAGGGGCCAGTCCTGTGCAAATATCCCTCCCATTAAGTCATGCTGATGCTTAGGGACCCCAACAAATCTGTGTGTTCAGTCACCCTGTATCATTTAATGTTCTACATTTATAAATGTAACCACTAGAAGTAGTGGTTAACAAGCTTCTCTGTATAGGTTATTTTATACATAAAATCCCTTCTATTTCCATAACTGAATCAAGAGATTGCATACTTTTTCCCCCCTTAGTACTGGGGTCCATACTAAGGACCTTGCATTTGCTAGGGCCCTCTATTACTTGAGACATGCCCAGTATTTTGTCCATTATTATTATTATTATTATTATTGCATCTCCACTGGAAAACACAGCACTTCTATTGAGTGACTATGACATCCCATGGAGAATTTCAATCTTTGGTCCAAGTGTTAAGAGCTCTGGGTTGCAGAATCCTACAAGCCCTCTTTGAAATAGCCTCTGCTTTAATTCTTTTTTGGACAGATTCTAGTGTTTTTGCCTAGGGCTGGCCTTGGACTGTGATCTTCATACCTATGGTCTCTGGCATAGCTGAAATCACAGGCACATATCATCACATCTGGCTTCTTGAGATGTCTTACTATTTGCCTAAGCTGGCTTTGAACCTCAATCCTTCAGACTGAGTGGCTTATGTTAGCTAGGGCTAACAGACAAAATTTATAATGCCTGGTCTAGCTCTTAAGTTTTTATGAAATCAGTTTGATATGGTATTTGGCCCGTAGTTATCAAGATGCGTACAGAGTATTTTCTCTCTGTCCTACTTCAAATTAATTATGTATTACTGTACTTATGAGAACCATTCCACACCTAGATTTGATAGTATATCTATCCAGTGTCTAGTTGTTGCAAAACAATTACAAGTGACAAACGGAACTATGAATCGAGCTAAGCATTTTTTTTTGGGGGGGGAGGGGGGCTCGGTCGTGGGGCCTGCACTCTGGGCCTGGGCACTGTCCCTCAGCTCTTCAGCTCAAGGCTAGCGCTCTACCACTTGAGCCACAGCGCCACTTCCGGCTTTTTTCTTTTTGCTTATGTGGTGCTGAGGAATCGAACCCAGGGCCTCACGCATGCAAGGCAAGTGGTCTACCACTGAGCCACCTTCCCAGCCCGAGCTAAGCATTTTTAAAGAGTTATGAATACACATGCACACAAGCAATAGAATGTAGATCACATGGCCTGACAAGTCACAAAAAAGGTCTGCTGAAACATGAGCTATATGGTAGCCTCATTCTATACTACACACCATAAGAAGTAATTTTTAATGTGACATATCAAATATTTCCTTGTTAGGCTATTCCACAATGCAAAATACACTATTCTTTCAATTCGATGTGACTTATAAATACTCCCTGTATGTCAAGTTTCAAAACTTATAGTTTTGTAGTGAAGAAAAGACAACTGAAGTCTAAGAGAAAACTATTTCTGCAATGTATCTTAGGCAAAAAATACATCTTGTAATGAAAAAATGTTCACTTCCTTACAGTAAGGACACAGAAAACAAGGTATTTTTTCCATAGATATGTAAGATAAAGGTCAAACATACATACCAGCCCATAAGCCATACTTCTTTCATGCTCCTGGGTTATATCTGCTACATAAGCAAATACCACAGAGAAAGTCACTGCAAAAACCCCAGAAACAGAGATAACAGCAAAGTACCACCTAAGAATGAAAGACAACAAGAAATGGTTAGAATAATTAGCAGTACTTGGGACCCTCCATTGCTATTAATTAGGATAAGAATAGTTAATAAGGACAGTGCCTGGGTTATTAAACATTTCTATCTATACCAGTCCACAGACATTATGAAACATGGGGCTACAAGTGGTCCTTTGATAGCTACTCAGCAACTATACAAGAAAGGTAGTATTAAATGAATTCAGCTGAAATCTTTCATCCAACTTTCAACTGCTAGGTAACTTTTGTTGTTTTAGTTAAAAACAGCAACAAAGTCTGTTATAATTCCTTTATTACTATTTTCTACCACTCTACTACCACTTACACACACAAATATCTGGATTAGTATCAGGGTGGCTGAGAGAGCATTTAACTAGAAGAAGCAAAAGCCTGAAATCTGACCAAAATAAATAAGCAAAGATTGGGTAAGAGTCTGATATGGTATGAATTTGATATAGGGTTTCCTTAAAAGGAGGTACTATGGCCAGGCTCACACCCATAATCCTAGCTTCTCCAGAGGCTGTGATCTTAGGATCGAGGTTGGAAGTCAGCCCAGGCAGCAAAGTCCACAAAATTCTTTTTTTTTTTTTTTTTTTTTGGGGGGGGGGGGGGGGTGTCCAGTTGTGGGGCCTGAACTCTGGGCCTGGGCGCTGTCCCTCAGCTCTTCAGCTCAAGGCTAGTGCTCTACCACTTGAGCCACAGCGCCACTTCTGGCTTTTTTTCTTTTTGCTTATGTGGTGCTGAGGAATCGAACCCAGGGCCTCAGGCATGCAAGGCAAGCGCTCTACCACTGAGCCACCTTCCCACCCCCAAGTCCACAAAATTCTTACCTCCAATTAATCACAGAAAAAGTTGAAGTGGAAGCTCTAGCCTTGACCAAAAACTTAGGGACAGCACCCAGCCCAGAACACCCCCAAAAAAGACAGTATGCTTTTCTTAGCTACCCTTTCCATAGTTCTGCCTGAGGAGACAAATTCTCGATGGTGAAGTGCCAGCTTAGAGGTAGAAGAGCAAAATAAGTCTTACTTGCCATTCACTTCTGGGAATTGCCATATCACTTCTGGGCTACTCAACTCCTGAGAGAAATAAACTTCCTCAGGACTGGGAAGATGGCTCAGTGGTACAATGCTTGCCTAGGATGCATGAAGCCCTGGGTTCAATTCCTCAGCACCACATAAACAGAAAAAGCTGAAAGTGCCATAATGGCTCAAGAGCTAGCCTTGAGCAAAAGAAGCTCAGGGCCAGCACCCCAGACTCTGAGTTCAAGCCCCAGGACTAGCAAAAAAACAAAACAAAAAAAAACCCCAAACCAAAAACTTTCTTGTTGCAAGTAACTACTATTTGGCTTCACTGATACCAAGTAAAACCTTTTCTTAATTAGTACAAATTAATGATAAACTATGGGGTTGCTAACATTTTACTTGGAAATAGTCACATTTGAGATGTGAAATCCAATAGCAGGTTGCAAGAAGTCTAGATGCTTCCCACAGTAGCCCTTTAAAGCCCTTATGAACTATTACTCACATATACAATTTTAAGAACTTTATCTGTGTCAAAGAATGAACATATTAGAAGAATAAAACTACAACTTACATGGACTAGTATTAAAAAAAAACACAAGAATTCAGGAACACTAAAAAGCAGTAATAGTAATAGAAAATTCTGTTTAGCTGCTATAATCTCAATGTGCACATACCATGGGCTGATCTTCATCAAAGGAATCGGGGCACATGTGAAAAACACTGTTAGCAGCAAGAAGGACTTTCGGCCCCAAACATCAGAAAGAGCACCAATAAGTGGGGCACTGAGGAATGACAACAAACCCTAAAAGATGCAAATAAAAAAGTGTATGTTATATATCCACAGGGAAAATACAAGTAATTTTAGAACCTCAGAAGAATTTTAAAGGAGTTATTTTTAAGTGGATTTTTTTTTTTTGAACTCTGGGCCTGGGCACTGTCCCTCAGCTCTTCAGCTCAAGGCTAGCACTCTACCACTTGAGACACAGTGCCACTTCCGGCATTTTTCTTTTTGCTTATGTGGTGCTGAGGAATCGAACCCAGGGCCTCAGGCATGCAAGGCAAGCGCTCTACCACTAAGCCACCTTCCCAGCCCCTAAAGGAGTTATTTTTAAAATAAATCAATAAGCTTTAGATAAATAACATTTTTATCTATATGTGTTATATATAGATACATATATCTATAGATATATGTATCTATATATAACACATATAGATAAGAAAATTATACATATATATAGATAGCTAGATTTCTTATCTATATATAATGTTAAAATTTCCTCAGGCTAGAATTATCTACAGGGCTCAGGCTGGATATTAAAATGAAACGCCCTAATTCTCAATTACAATAGCTTTCAATTACAATAGTAATTCAAAAATGCTAATTATGTTTTTACATTAATAGATGAATTATCTGTTTGTAAAAATCTGCTATCCAAGTTAAGTCTTCAAGAGTAAAGAATCTGGGCTAGGAAGCTGGCTCAGTGGTAGAGTGCTTGCCTCACATGCATGAGGCCCTGGGTTCCATTCCTCAGCACCACATAAGCAGAAAAGCTGGACGTGGTGCTGTAGCTCAAGAGGTGGGCCTTGAGCTGAAGAGCTGAGTGACAGTGCCCAGGCCCAGAATTCAGTCCCCACAACGATCTACACACAAAAAAGTGAAGAATCTGCATAGGGCCAGTGACATGGCTGCTGACCAATACACGTCCAGTGTGTCTTGTGCCTGTCTAGCAAGTCCATAGCTCTCAGTTCAAACCCCAGTACTGTCAAAAAAAGAAGCTGTATAATAAAGACTTTACTGCACTGATTTAATTTTATATTGGAGTTTTTTAAAGATCATTTTCTTTCTTTAATCTCTATATTTATTGTTAGTTTATTAAAGCACTGAAACCGCTAGAATAAAAGTCTTAATTTAAAATGGGAAGTAGGGTATAACTTTATTAAGTATACAGTTGCTTATATTTAAAGTCACCTCATATTTAATACTGAATTGGTAATTCCCAAATTTACTCGAATTATAAAAAATGGACAGATTAATCAATTTACCTAAAATTCTGGAAGAATTATATATACATAAGTATGCACATATGTATGATTGATCTTACCTTTACTCCTTGAATTAGGCCATTCATCAGAAACGTATGTTTGGGGAAGGTTTCATGTAATACCTAAAGAACAAAAACCAAAATGAAAATCATATTACATTTTAGTCCTATAAAACTTCAAGTATATTTTCAAATACTCTATCAAAAAGCAACCTAGACTAATTTAGATAAATTTTCAAACTTTACAGATGAAAAGGATGAAATGGAACACTGAAACAATGGTACTGGTTTGGGAAGAAGGATGAGGCTGAGTTTCATTAAGGTACACCGTATACAAATATAAACATGTTAAAATGAAAACCCTGTACAACTAATTGATGCTAATTAAAAAGGGTTTATACAATGCTATCTCTAAGTAAAAACAATAGAGAATAGCCAAGTACCAGTGGTCACACCTGTAATCCTAGCTACTCAGGAAGCTGAGATCTGAAGATCATGATTCAAAGACAATCTAAGGCAGAAAAGCCCATGAATCACCACAAATAAAGAAATTAGCGATGAATTCAGTTGTTTGGGCTAGTAAATCTTTTTAAGGTTCTAGTCTTAGGAAAATGTTATTAGTCTTTTTAGAATCTTAGCCCAAATAAAAAGAACATTTATTTTGAAAATGCAACTACTTACATGAATCTCAAAATAATTA